ATCGATTTACAAAGATAGGTTTTACAAGCTCAAGAAGAAGTAAGAAATTTAAATTCTATATTTAAAGCATCTCAATTGGGTATTAAGATTCAAAAAGTCCCACCGAATTGTTTCGAGAAAAATTACAAAATTTATAACTAGAAGAACAATAGAAGATTCCGTTAATTTGCAAAATACAGCTGATGATTTTCTGAAAACAGTTAAATCACTTATCGATCAGTTTGGATCTGAAAATGTTTTTAATTCTGATCAAAGTGATTTCCAATTGGAAATTCATTCTGGAAGGTCATTGTCTAATGAAGGAGTAAAGAAAGTAGAGTGTGTTGTGCAATCTATATCATCAACAACACACTCATACATCATACAACCAATAATATGGTGTAATGGAAATTTACTGTCACCTTTATTTATTGTATTGAAAGAAACTAATAGTATATTTGAACCAAGAGTACAAGCAACCTTATTTACACCAATAAATGTAAAAGCATCGAAATCTGGTACAATGGCTTCAGATAATTACGTAAATTTCCTTTTACAATACATTTTCAGATACTGTTTTATTATTAAAAAGTAAATATAAATTTGCACAAACGGAATAATATAATGAAATTATAAGTTTTATTTCTGTGATATATTTTATATTTTATTTAAGAATCTCATAACAGTCATAAAATACTTATTAATTTAGAGAAAGTTCAAGGGGGACGTAAGGTGGAGACTGAAGCTTTTTGACAGTATTGTGAAAGGAATACTTTTGTATGGAGTGGAGATATGGGGGTATAAGGAATGGAAAGAAATAGAGGCTTTACAAGAAAAATATTTGAGATGGATACTGGGGGTGAAGAGCTGTACTCCGGGATATATAGTTAGGGAGGAATTGAAAAGGAACAAAATGAGGGTGGAAACGGGGTGGAGAGCGGGAAGGTTTGAAGAGAGAATACAGAAAGGAGAAGGAGGAGAGATAGGGAGAGAAAGTATAGTAGAACGGAGGAAAGAGGAAAGAGAAAAACGAAAGGAAGAATGGACAAGGGAAAGCCTAGAGAGAAGGGAGTACTTATGGAGAGGGGGGGTAAGCGAGGAAGCGCTTAATGAATGGGGAGAGGGAAAATGGGAGCGATTACGAGAAAGAGATATAGAAGTAGATATGCAGCAGAGAGGAGAAGAGGTGAGAACTTCAAGGTCGTGTAAAAATTACAGAAATGTAATAGGAATACCGGAATACATCAGAAAGAGTAAAAAGAGAGAGGGAAAGAAGATGCAGATGATTGCGAGATGGAGATGTGGTAACGAAGAAAGAGGAAATATGTTTTGGATGAATGAAGAAGAGAGAAAATGTAGAGTGTGCGAAAAAGAGAGAGAGGATATAAAACACATGAAAGAAGAATGTGTGTTACTTAAAAAGGAAAGATGGAATAGAATAGAGGTGTTGCACGAAGATGGAAGAGGGTATGAATGGATGCAAATGATAGAGGCAGCGCGGAAGAAGAGAGAGGAAGAGAGAGAGAGAGAGAGAGAGAGAGAGAGAGAGAGAGAGAGTGAGTGAGACCGACATGAGTGAGTGAGAGACATAAAATGTAAATGAGTATGAATGTGAGTATGAATTTGTAGATTAGTAAGCAAGTAAGAAAGAAATGTAGATGTTTTTTTAAGATGTATTGTATATAAGGGAAGTCCGTGTAATCACGTTGGTGAGCGCGTAATAAACTTTTACTACTACTACTGCTACTTTATGTGTATGTATATATATGTAGGTATGTATAGAGAGAGAGAGAGAGAGAAAGAGTGAGTGAGTGAGACCGACATGAGTGAGTGAGTGACATAAAATGTAAATGAGTATGAAAGTGAGTATGAATGTGTAGATTAGTTAGCAAGTAAGCAAGAAATGTATATGTATATTTAAGATGTATTGTATTTAATGGAAGTCCGTGTAATCACGTTGGTGAGCACGTAATAAACTACTACTACTTATTAATTTAACATTTATACATTTTCTTACAGACCATTTTGAAATGTGGTTAGAAGAAGCTTATTTTTCAAACATTGGTTCTAATAGCGTTCTTCTTATCGATTCATGGATTGGACATTGTCCCAATATTATTTCAGATTTAATACCTGCAGAAAAACATATTATTACTATAATTATACCGAAAGACACTACAGGGAAAATACAATCATTAGATGTTTACGGATTTAGAATGTGGAAAAATTTTGCTAAAAAATTTTCAAATACTGTTTTATTATTAGAAAGTAATATAAATTTACATGAACAAAATAATATAATAAAATTACAATCTCTAATACATAATCAATTGTCATCCTCGCGATATCACAACTTATTTAAATATTTGTGATTTAAAAGTGGTTATACAAACAAAAGACCAGAAGAATTTGAAAATTCAGTAAAATTTAGTTTCGACAAAAGTTCAACAACGTGTGATATCAAAGGTTGCAATAATATAGCTATAGTAAGCTGTTTATGCAAGAAGTCATTATGTTTAAAACATTTTTTCATCGAGTATCATTATTGTAATGAATATAATGAGTAAACGATATAAAATATAAATTTATTGTATATAAACATTTAGAAATTATTACATAAATGACAAATAAATAAGATGTTCACAGTTATTCTTATCTATTCCAAGAAAAAAATTTTCTTTGAAAAAGAAAAATCATGATTTCCAATGGGTTAAAATTCTAGATGAAGAGCCTTGCTAGGAAGTGCTTAATTTCTGAGATGCTCAATATTAAAAAGCAGAAAAATAGCTTGAATTTACAAACCGACACGGAAAGTCTTCATAAAGCATATATACCTATTGTAAATAGAGTTTGACTTGTCTTTACATATTACAATAGACTTTTTATACTTGTATGACACGCTTGTTTTGAACAATTTACATATGTTTTTAGTGAGTTTTTATTTCTTACTAAAATTCCGTTATGTTAATTTTTGTGTTTATTTTTTCGTAAGAAGTCTTTTTATCTTTTTATCTACTAGAACTTTTCCAAGAGATGTGATACACTTGCGACTGTGTAATCGTACGTGAATATTGTCGAGTTCTACATCAAGACTCACCCGAATTGTGCTTGCGATGAATTTGCGAACATTTATATTGCGGTTTACTTTTTTTTTTCCGATATTTGTCTGAAGAGGGCTCCATCTTGTACTCGAAACTTGTTACGGAATTTTTATTTATTTTTTATTTTTTATTCTTTATGTATCTTTTATTTTTATTTTTATTACTCTCTTTCTTCGATTTTATTTTTTTAAGTATAATTATTTGTAGTTTATTCTTTTAATTAGATGACTATTTTTAAAAACAAAACGTGCTGACTCTTTGCCCTTTACTTATTGTTATTTATTTTGTATAATAAGAGTCCTTCAATTTTGTTAAATGTTTCCAACGTTAATTTCAATAACTAATTAAAGCAAAAATTTTTTGTAATAATATATTTTTTAATTTTATATTATATAAAATAAATATTCCTTGTGAAGTATTTCGTGTTTGATTTCATTATAATCTTGAATTTGCTTATATATTATATATATATTGTATATATATATATATATATTGTATATATATATATAATATATATATATATATATTTCAATTAAATGGGACAACTTCTCCCACACACACAGTGGGGTAAGTTGTTACAATTTACCTACTGATAGAAAATCTTAAATTTCAGTATTTAAAGACATAAATACAAATTAGAAAAAAATTGATTATTTAGATAAAGACGTACTTGAAGCAATGCATAGGTATTCATTAATTTAAATGTATATATTAGTACGGAAAGAATTGCTAATCAAAAATTGTAATAACTTGCTCCGGTCTCCCCTACTTATAAAAATTGATTTTTATTATTTATTTTATAATACATTTCTATATATTTTTATTAGAGCATAAATTAAAAAAATATTACTTATATTTATTAAAATAACTTATAATCCAGATAGTAATTCATTATCAAATTTGTCGTATTATTTTTAAATGTGATTTAGGATAATTTGTAATCTTTTTCATAATTTTATTATCATTTTGAAAATATGTATTGGGTTGTCCGGAAAGTTCGTGTGTATTTTTCGCACGAACCTTTCCGGATAACCCAAGATTGTCCGGAAAGTCCGTGCGGAAAATACACACGGACTTTCCGGACGACCCAATGTATAAAACATTCTTAAGCAATTGGAAAACATATCGATACAAATTCTTTAAAAATTGACTATTTGATAGAAATCGGTTGTTCAATCTTTGGATAAACTACGTGATAATTTATCTAATGGATAAACAAAAAAGTAAAAGAATAAGAAAATAAGAGAATAAGTTAAAGTTTATCGAAAAAAAAAACAATCTACACTTAAAGATGTATTTAAATCAATATATTTATATAGTTGTATGAATATAGTTATTCATTGATTTAAATGTGTACAATATTAAAGAAAGAAACTTATTGGACCCCATGTACACAACCAATAGGAAATAAAAGCCTTTAACGATCGAAGCTGAGTCTTAAATGCTTAAATAATTCGATACTGCATATGTCATTATGAAAATTGCGCGTCGAATTGATTATTTGTACTTCTAAAACGCAATCCCAACAGAACTATAGTAATAATATAATAATTTAATACTCATCAAATTATTACTACTATAGTTCTGTCAGAATTACGTTTTAAAAGTTCGAAAAATCAATTCGGCGCGCAATTTTCGACAAATGTAATATTAAAGTATTTAAGTAGCTTCAGATTCGATTGTTAAAGATTTCTTTCCTATTGATTAAATATATACATTGGTCCGAATACAAATTCTGATAAAAAATTGTATAACAATTAATCCGATATCCTCTATAGCAATTACAATTTAATTTGCAAGTATCAAATATTTTGTGAGTTTGTCTAGACAACTAGGCATCGATAACAGAAACGAATGATTTGATTATAAACATTTTAATCTGTATTCTAGTATTAATCTTACACTCGACATTATTTATAGGTTTTCCATGTCCAATACTTTGGACGTCCGCGAAATCCAGACAGCTGGACATCGGATTTATCGTCCAACCTGTAAAAACGCGAATCCGCATCAAAGCAAGAATTCACGAACGCGTCCCAGTAATTCTAGTAAAACGCATCTCCCAAATTGCGGAATCCACCTTATCGCAGTTTTCTTTTTTCTTTTTTAGATAAGGTCGAATTTAACGGTGTCAAACCTATACTGTTAACTGTTCTGAATTGCATATCTCATTGATCAATGGACATTGTTTATCTTGCAATTCGACAGTTTTTTTTGAAATAAATAAAAATAATTGTTCTTATTTAACTCTTTCATTATATGTATGCTCAGTATTTCAATTCTTTTAAACATTACAATATGACACATATATGTATACAATTAGAAATTTATTATTATCATATTCTATTAATCTTTTATTCTTTATACATATACATATATAATGAGGACAAATATTACAAATTATATAGTAAATTTAATGTTTCTACTCTTCAATAAAATTTGCACAATATGTGGCTAATGATTACTCAAATCATAAAAAATTCAAAAAGAATAAAAGAAATATTCAGTTGTCATCAATTCTGTGTCGTATGTTATCAATTTTGAATTAATTTTTAAATGCAAAAAGAATTCTTTTCACAACTTTTCAAAAAAAAGAGAATTTTTTTTGCAATTCACAATGAATTCAGAATTTATAACGTACGACTGAATTCTTTTCGAACTCTCTGTGCTTTCTGGATAATGACATTGCTATCAGGTACAGTATGTCCAGTAAAGACCATAACAACACTTAAAGATAGATTTCTGAATTTCATCATTTTGTTTTCAGCTTAAGGGAATGACTAAGTCAAATAATTCAATTCCCGTATTCGCTCTAGGAATTCTAGGAATTCAGTAGCAAGAAAAGTTAACCTAAAAGAATAAAGCAAATTATACATTTAATAATTTGCCTTTATAATAATAATATATTTTGCAAATCAACAGGAGCAATATATCCAGTATTTTATTATAATATTTAAAATAGAGTAACGCAGGTAGATTACTGTAGGTTGTATTAAGGAAAATGTATTGAATAAAGGCCGTATCAATGAACACTATACATAATCAAGGCTTGTATATAAAGTGGCAGAACGGATTTACTCAATCTTATAACGAGCAACATGTAAATCAAAAGCGAAAACCTACAAGCAAATATGAGGTAGACGATTTAATTATAATGAGGAATTTTGACATACTTAATCAGTATGTCTAATAAGATGAAATCGATCCATAAATGACTGAAACAATTGTTATGTTTTGAGCGATGTACAGAAATTCCAGCTCTTTGTTAGCGACCGATACTAAGATGTTTGATACTAAAATGTGCAAACATGAAATCTTGGCGTAGAGTTAAACCTATAGAAGACCATGATTGTGACGGCCTTAGAATTAAGACGGAGATGTAAGGAAAGATAAAGTAAATAAGTTTAAAATGCGCGGAATTAACCAAAGTCAAAACCCACGGGTTGATAAGCATCAAGATTGGATGTTCATTTATTAAATACGAGTTAGTCGTTAATGGCGAATTCAATGAGTCGATCAAACGATAGTGAACACGTTATGCTTATTGCACACTGGACGTGATAAGCGACGAGCAACATTCAATAAAAGTTCTGCTTTTTCGCATATGACAATGTAAAACAAAACTTTATTAGATGTCACTCGTCGCTCATCGCTCATTGCGTCTAGTGTGTAGACATTAGAAGGAAGAATCTCTATATTTTATATGATGTTATATCCCGATAAAACCCTTTATCTCTTTATTATAAATATATGATTTATCTTATTTCTAGTTTAGTATTTCATTTTTAAGTTTTGTAACCGTCCCTTTTATAGAAGGACCTATTCAGTTCCTTTTTTGTGAACATTCCAAACAAACAGATAGCTCACGCTCGTAAACCTTATGCGTCACATAGACAAAAAATACCTAACCGACAATCTTTTCCATTGAGAGCCTTTTTCCAGAAAAATGTTAAACAATAGTATATGCCTAATAATTAAGTAATAGTACATGGTAAAAATTAAGACCTTCCAACTGCGAGAATGAATATCTTTTATTTTTTCCTTTTATTTCTAATGGAACTAAAATCTATCCAAGAATCACGAAATTATAATATATATTTTGACGGTAGCAGTTTAAAATACGTATTATTAATATAATCTAGAATATGCCATTACACTTCGCCTCGCATAAGGAAATTAGTTAAGTAAGATCGAACCTTTATAAATTATTAAAACTCTCGTTATTAAGATAAAACTAGACTCATAGTGCCGGAAGTGGGGCTTGCGCGGAGCCCTGCTGCCTTAAGGAAACAAGCACGGGCATAGGTCCTACCAAATTCCAAGGAGTACTGAGTGGTCCTGAAAGGACACTCCCATACTCATTTTTAAGTATAAAAGGAGCTGCTGAAGGCAGAAACGAGCAGAGAGAGGAAAACTAAGAGCGAAGGTAGAAAACTATTGTACTTTGGAAGTGGGTAAGAGCTATCCCCGCGCTAACCTCCGGAACTTATTCCTATATTGTAACCATTTTTTCTTTATTAAACGACTATACTAAAACAATTCGGCTGAAGCCTAGATCTCTGCTCTATTTCAAATTCATTAAGGTATACGAATATCCGAGAATCTGTTGTGACTGTCGCTGCCAATAGCGTGGCCCCCGTCTAATACTGTTCTACGGAGAATTCGTTATTTTGAGGAATTGTTGTGACCAGTCGCTGCCAATAGCGTGGCCCCTCGTCTAATAACAGTTCCTCAAAAGAGAGTCAAAATCTGAAGGGTTGTCACGACTGTCGCTGCCAATAACGTGGCCCCCGTTTTTCGGCACTCCTTCGGAACAACGATAATTCTTTCGCGTTACCTCCATGCCTACTAAAGGCGAACGTAGACAACAGGAGAAGAGATTGAGATATCAAGTCAAATCAGCTATTAATTCCAGCCACGATCCTTTCCCCCAATTTTCCAGAAATTGGCACAATTATTAGATCAGAAAAAACCGGTAAGCCCACCTAACAAAAGCGGATATTCCCTCCAACCGTTGGAGATCACTCTTCTATTCCCTGATTATCGAAATATTCAAAAGGGTGATCCACGTAAACTCGCCTATAAGCTTCGTGAGCTTTTTGGCACCGGATTCAAGGTTACCCTACCGAGCAATTATTCCACTCTCCCCACCGAACAATCCTAATCGCACAACTTGATCTCCAAACCCCGGGTAAATTGCTTAAATGCATTGACCCTAAAACAGGAAATATAAACGTAAATAAACAAACAAATAAA